ACTACATACACAAGTTAACACTGACTACATACACAAGTTAACGCTGACTATATACACAAGTTAACACTGACTACATACACAAGTTAACACTGACTACATACACAAGTTAACAGTGACTACATACACAAGTTAACACTGACTACATACACAAGTTAACACTGACTACATACACAAGTTAACACTGACTACATACACAAGTTAACGCTGACTACATATACAGGTTAACACTGACTACATACACAAGTTAACACTGACTACATACACAAGTTAACACTGGCTACATATAAAAGTTAACACTGACTACATATAGTACATACACAAGTTAACACTGACTACATACACAAGTTAACACTGACTACATATATAGGTTAACACTGACTACATACACAAGTTAACACTGACTACATACACAAGTTAATGCTGACTACATACACAAGTTAACACTGACTACATATAAAAGTTAACACTGACTACATACCCAAGTTAACACTGACTACATACACAAGTTAACACTGACTACATACACAAGTTAACGCTGACTACATATACAGGTTAACACTGACTACATACACAAGTTAACACTGACTACATACACAAGTTAACACTGACTATATACACAAGTTAACACTGACTACATACACAAGTTAACACTGACTACTTACACAAGTTAATGCTGACTACAAACACAAGTTAACACTGACTACATACACAAGTTAACGCTGACTACATATACAGGTTAACACTGACTACATACACAAGTTAACACTGACTACATACCCAAGTTAACACTGACTACATACCCAAGTTAACGCTGACTACATACACAAGTTAACACTGACTACATACCCAAATTAACACTGACTATATACACAAGTTAACACTGACTATATACACAAGTTAACACTGACTACATACCCAAGTTAACACTGACTACATACACAAGTTAACACTGACTACAAACACAAGTTAACACTGACTACATATATAGGTTAACACTGACTACATACACAAGTTAACACTGACTACATACACAAGTTAATGCTGACTACATACACAAGTTAACACTGACTACATATAAAAGTTAACACTGACTACATACCCAAGTTAACACTGACTACATACACAAGTTAACACTGACTACATACACAAGTTAACACTGACTATATACACAAGTTAACACTGACTACATACACAATTTATCGCCGACTTTATACATAAGTTAACATTAACCTGTACCTGACATTTGATTTAAGTTACAGGAAGCTCATTTGTGACAATGTCAAATGTCATGTTTTTCATTTGAATATAATGAACAGAGGTGTTCCGATTACAAGGGTCACAGGTGTTGGTGTTGTACACTTGGAACCCCTCGGGCACTTTATTGACGGTCTCCGCTGTCACACGAGATGACAAAGAACACGAGAACTCTCTATATATATACAGTAGATGGACTTACATCATCGATTTCCGTCTTTCATTCCAAAAAATTTCACTGACTCATCGTAGTAGCATGATTTGAACTTTTTATATCCAAATAAGCGACGAAAACAAACAAAAAAAGAGAAGAGAAAAAAAAAACAAAACAAAAAACAAAAAAATAATAATAATAAAGAAAAAGCACAAAAAGAAAATAAAAGACAAACAATCAAATAAATAAATAATTGTTTCAAATACATTTTACTTTTTGTTCTAACTAGAATTTGTTTGCTAACGTCTGTTTGATAACGCTGTCTTTAACAACAATACTGATGTGATATATGAAAGACTAAACCAGTACAATCAAAATGTCTGACATATTGTTAAAAGATGAATGAATAAAATCACACACATATTAACTACGACACCGTACAGACAACGACATACCAAAGATCTTGTAATTCAATTGTTGTAATATTATAAACATCTCAATATATTTGAACATTCTTGATATACCACACGAATCCAATTAACCAAGATTTGCTTCAAGCGACACTATTTAAAGTGTACAGGTATTTAACCACGTATGTATACTTTTTTGTATGGAAGTGTCAAAATGGAAGAAAACACGTTTTATCACAGGCTTGTATAATGATATTCAATATTTGAACTTTTAATCAACATTACAAATTTATATCGGAAGGTGATGGAATCGAGTTTTTATACATGTACAATTATATTTAAACCATTTCGTTTAATGTGCTATTTTTAGAATGAATATTTCGGTACCTATTTATAAATTATCAGATTTAGCAACTAAATCTAGAAAGAGTTGTGCTCCTAGCATACCAAAATAGCGGCTGGACAGAGGGAGATCGAATAGGATTTAAATCGTATTTATATATTTACTTTGCAACAATGGAAATAGATATTTTACATATCCATTATAAACACCGATAGATTTCTAACCATGAATCTTGTAAATAATTTGTAAGGGCAAATCAAGAAATGTCCTTTTTATCACCATTAGTATAGGCTAAAACTGACGGTCATTGTGGTGAAGTGATCGGCCCCCGGGGAGTTGTCCAAAATGGCACAAAATATGTGATATTTTTAAGTACTGTCGACTGTTCGATACTTTGAACTTAACTTTCATATCTGAACACCAAAAACACAATGTATAAAATATTCTAAAGTAATATTCAATGTGTCAAAATCTGTTTATATTATAATTCATACACAATATTTATGATGAGTTTGACACAATAGGGCTATTGAGAGACTCGTCAAATCAGTATATGACGCCAGAATTAGTGAGTTAAACAACCCATACCGCCAATTTACAGTAGCATACCTTTGACACAATGCAAAACGACTTAATATTACATTTTTATATTTAGATTAATAAATTCCCATCTAAGCAATTCATTAGAAGTCTCGGAATTTCTGACTCATTACAAAGCATACAACCGTTCTATAGTAAAGCATCACCTACCTTAGTGTGGTTAGATTACGTACAATCCTCCGGAAAAGCCTCCCAAATTTTGAAAGTTTCCTAGAAAAACTGGAACAACCGTTTTTTGTCCTTTGTGTTGTGCGAGTTGTATAAAATTATCCTGTGTCCGACATGTCTTTGGCCCTCTCTCTAGTTTGTACGCCTTCCCGTGTGGACCGCTAGGCTGAAAGACCAGGGAGCGTGTGGTTTACCTGTGCATTTACCTGTAGTGATGGGTCGGAGACATGTCGTTTTTACCTTGAGAAATGTCACTAGGTCTACAACTAACGGTCTCTATAGATGATTTATAGGAAGGTGTAACACGCGAACGACAGCAGCATAGACATAAAAATGTGCCGTCTTCAATACCAGTTTAAGAGATGTACAATATGTGTTTTGTCTTCATGACAGAATTTTAGGAGACATTTAATATTTATACTTTCAGAAATCTGTTTTTAGTCAAAACTAGGTTAGTTAGCATATGGAAATTTTCATATCTTTGCATAAATTTAGCATATTTTCAAAACTGTGTATATATTGTCAATAGTGTGTAAGTCATCGTCTATATTCCTTCGTCACTCTCATTCCCCAATCACCCTACCACACCCCTGACACCTACCCATCCCCCATCAAATCCCTGACACCTACCCATCCCCCATCACACCCCTGACACCTACCCATCCCCCATCACTACCATCACGCCTACCCATCCTTCACCACACCCCTGACACCTACCCATCCCCCATCACACCCCTGACACCTACCCATCCCCCATCACTACCATCACGCCTACCCATCCTTCACCACACCCCTGACACCTACCCATCCCCCATCACACCCCTGACACCTACCCATCCCCCATCACTACCATCACGCCTACCCATCCTTCACCACACCCCTGACACCTACCCATCCCCCATCACACCCCTGACACCTACCCATCCCCCATCACTACCATCACGCCTACCCATCCTTCACCACACCCCTGACACCTACCCATCCCCCACTACACTCCTGACACCTACCCATCCCCCATCACACCCATCACGCCTACCCATCCTTCACCACACCCCTGACACCTACCTATCCCCCACCACACCCCTGACACCTACCGATCCCCCATCACACCCTTGACACCCACCCATCCCCCGCTACACCCCTGACACCTACCTTACCCCCACCACACCCCTGAAACCTACCCATCCTCCACCACACCCCTGACACCTACCTAACCCCAACCACACCCCTGACACCTACCCATCCCCCATCACATTCTTGACTCCTACCCATCCCCCACCACACCCCTGACACCTACCCATCTCCCACTACACCCCTGACACCTACCTAACCCAAACCACACCCCTGACACCTACCCATCTCCCACTACACCCCTGACACCTACCTAACCCCAACCACACCCCTGACACCTACCCATCCCCCATCACACCCCTGACACCTACCCATCACCTACCCATCCCCTACCACACCCCTGACACCTACCCATCCCCCATCACACCCTTGACACCTACCCATCCTCCACCACACCCCTCCTCTTTCTCCCCTGCTTCTCGTTCCTTGCATGCCCTCCCCTTCCTTCATTGCCTCTCTTTCCCTGCCTTCCCTCCACTCCCCTTTCTCCTATGCCTCTCTTTCCCTGCCTGCCCCCTCCTATTCCTCCTCTGCCTCTCCTTTCCTGCCTGCCTGTCTGCCCTCCTTTTCCTTTCCTGCCTCTCTTTCCCTGCATGCCTTTCTCTTCCTCCCCTGCCTCTCTTTCCAAGCCTACCCTCCCCTTCTTCCCATGCCTCTCTTTCCCTACCATCCCTCTCCTCCCCTTCATCCAATGCCTCTCTTTCCCTGCCTGCCCTCCCCTTCCTCCAATGCCTCTCTTTCCCTACCTGCCCTCCCCTCCCACTCCTCCCATGCCTCTCTTTCCCTGCCTGCCCTCCTCCCCTTCCTCCAATGCCTCTCTTCCCCTGCCTGCCCTCCCTCCCCTTCCTCCAATGCCTCTCTTTCCCTGCCTGCCCTCCCCTCCCCCTCCTCCCATGCCTCTCTTTCCCTGCCTGCCTCCCCTTCCTCCTCTGTCTATCTTTTACTGCCTGCCCTCCCCGTCCTCCCATGCCTCTCTTTCCCTGCCTGCCTCCCCTTCCTCCTCTGTCTCTCTTTCTCTGCCTGCCCTCCCCTTCCTCCCCTGCCTCTCTTTCCCTGCCATCCCTGCCCTCCCCTTCCTCCCATGGCTCTCTTTCTCTGCATGCCCCCTCCTCTTCCTCCCATGTCTCTCTTTCCCTGCCTTCCCTCCTCTTCCTCCTCTGCCTCTCTTTCTCTGCCTGCCCTCCCCTTCCTCCCATGCCTCTCCTTCCCTGCCTGCCTGCCCTCCCTTTCCTTCACTGCCTCTCTTACCTCCCTGCCCTCCCCTTCCTATCGTTCCCTGTATGCCATCCCATTCCTCCCCTGCCTCTCCTCTCTTTCCATCCCCTTCCTTTCTTTCCCTGCCTTCCCTCCTCTTCCTCCCCTGCCTCTCTTTTCCTGCCTGCCCTCCCCGTCCTCCCATGCCTCTCTTTCCCTGCCTGCCTCCCCTTCCTCCTCTGTCTCTCTTTCTCTGCCTGCCCTCCCCTTCCTCCCCTGCCTCTCTTTCCCTGCCTGCCCCTCCCTTCCTCCCTCTCTCTTTCCCTGCCCTCTCTTCCTCCCCTGCCTCTCTTTCCTGCCTGCCCTCCCTTCCTCCCTGCCTCTCTTTCCCTGCCTGCCCTCCCCTTCCTCCCTGCCTCTCTTTCCCTGCCCTGCCTGCCCTCCTCCTCTGTCTCTCTTTCTCTGCCTGCCCTCCCCTCCCTGCCTCTCTCTGCCCTCCCCCTCCTTCTCTCCCTGCCTCTTTTCCCCTCCTGCTGCCTGCCCTCTTTCTCACCTGCCTCTCTCCCATGCCTCTCTGCCTCTCTTTCCCTGCCTGCCCTCCCCCCTTGCCTCTCTTTCCCTGCCTGCCTCTCTTTCCCTGCCTCTCCCCTGCCTGCCCTCTGCCTGCCCTCCCTTCCTCCTCTCCTCTCTCTCCCTTCCCTCCTCTCTGCCCTCCCCTCCCCTCCTCCCATGCCTCTCTTTCCCTGCCTGCCCTCCCCTTCCTCCTCTGTCTTTCTTTCTCTGCCTGCCCTCCCCTTCATCCCCTACCTCTCTTTCCCTGCCTGCCCTCCCCTTCCTCCCATGCCTCTCTTTCCCTGCCTGCCCTCCTCCCCTTCCTCCAATGCCTCTCTTTCCCTGTCTGCCCTCCCCTCCCTTTCCTCCAATGCCTCTCTTTCACTGTCTGCCCTACCCTCCCCCTCCTCCCCTGCCTCTCTTTCCCTGCCTGCCCCCTCCTCTTCCTCCCATGCCTCTCCTTCCCTGCCCTCCCTCCCTCCCTCCTCTGCCTCTCTTACCTCTGCCTGCCCTCCCCTTCCTCCTCTTCTCTCTCCTGCCTCCCCTCCTCCTCTCCCTGCCTCTCTTTCCCTGCCTCTCAGCCCTCCTCCCCTTCCTCCTCTTTCCATGCCTCTCTTCCTCCCTGCCTCTCCTGCCTGCCCCCCTCCTCCCATGCCTCTCTTTCCCTGCCTGCCTCCCCTTCCTCCCTGCCTCTCTTTCCCTGCCCCTGCCCTCCCCTTCCTCCCATGCCTCTCTTTCTCTGCCTGCCCCCTCCTCTTCCTCCCATGTCTCTCTTTCCCTGCCTGCCCTCCTCTTCCTCCTCTGCCTCTCTTTCTCTGCCTGCCCTCCCCTTCCTCCCCTGCCTCTCTTTCCCTGCCTGCCCCCTCCTCTTCCTCCCATGCCTCTCCTTCCCTGTCTGCCTGCCCTCCCTTTCCTTCACTGCCTCTCTTACCTCCCTGCCCTCCCCTTCCTCCCTCGTTCCCTGCCTGCCATCCCATTCCTCCCCTGCCTCTCTCCCTGCCTCCCTTCCTCCTCTGCCTGACAGCCCTTCCATCCCCTTCCTTTCTTTCCATGCCTTCCCTCCTCTTCCTCCCCTGCCTCTGTTTTCCGGCCTGACCTCCCCGTCCTCCCATGCCTCTCTTTCCCTGCCTGCCTCCCCTTCCTCCTCTGTCTCTCTTTCCCTGCCTGCCCTCCCCTTCCTCCCCTGCCTCTCTTTCCCTGCCTGCCCTGCCCTCCCCTTCCTCCCATGCCTCTCTTTCTCTGCCTGCCCCCTCCTCTTCCTCCCATGTCTCTCTTTCCCTGCCTGCCCTCCTCTTCCTCCTCTGCCTCTCTTTCTCTGCCTGCCCTCCCCTTCCTCCCCTGCCTCTCTTTCCCTGCCTGCCCCCTCCTCTTCCTCCCATGCCTCTCCTTCCCTGCCTGCCTGCCCTCCCTTTCCTTCACTGCCTCTCTTACCTCCCTGCCCTCCCCTTCCTATCGTTCCCTGTATGCCATCCCATTCCTCCCCTGCCTCTCTTTCCCTGCCTGACAGCCCTTCCATCCCCTTCCTTTCTTTCCATGCCTTCCCTCCTCTTCCTCCCCTGCCTCTCTTTTCCTGCCTGCCCTCCCCGTCCTCCCATGCCTCTCTTTCCCTGCCTGCCTCCACTTCCTCCTCTGTCTCTCTTTCTCTGCCTGCCCTCCCCTCCCTGCCTCTCTTTCCCTGCCTGCCCTGCCCTCCCCTTCCTCCCATGCCTCTCTTTCTCTGCCTGCCCCCTCCTCTTCCTCCCATGTCTCTCTTTCCCTTCCTGCCCCCCTCTTCCTCCTCTGCCTCTCTTTCTCTGCCTTCCCTCCCCTTCCTCCCCTGCCTCTCTTTCCCTGCCTGCCCCCTCCTCTTCCTCCCATGCCTCTCTTTCCCTGCCTGCCCTCCCCTTCCTCCTCTGTCTTTCTTTCTCTGCCTGCCCTCCTCTTCCTCTCCTGCCTGCCCTCCCCGTCCTCCCCTCTCTCTTTCTGCCTGCCTCCCCTTCCTCCTCTGTCTTTCTTTCTCTGCCTTCCCTCCTCTTCCTCTCCTGCTTCTCTTTTCCTGCCTGCCCTCCCCGTCCTCCCATGCCTCTCTTTCCCTGCCTGCCTCCCCTTCCTCCTCTGTCTCTCTTTCTCTGCCTGTCCTCCCCTTCCTCCCCTGCCTCTTTTTCCCTGCCTGCTCTGCCCTCCCCTTCCTCCCATGCCTCTCTTTCTCTGCCTGCCCCCTCCTCTTCCTCCCATGTCTCTCTTTCCATGCCTTCCCTCCTCTTCCTCCCATGCCTCTCTTTCTCTGCCTGGCCCCTCCTCTTCCTCCCATATCTCTCTTTCCCTTCCTGCCCTCCTCTTCTTCCTCTGCCTCTCTTTTCCTGCCTGCCTGCCCTCCTTTTCCTTCCCTGCCTCTCTTTCCCTGCCTGCCTCCCCTTCCTCCTCTGCCTCTCTTTTCCTGCGTGTCCTCCCCTTCCTCCTCTGCCTCTCTTTTCCTGCCTGCCTGCCTGCCCTCCTTTTCCTTCCCCGCCTCTCTTTCCCTGCATGCCTTCCTCTTCCTCCCCTGCCTCTCTTTCCCTGCCTGCCTCCCCTTCCTCCTCTGCCTCTATTTCTCTGCCTGCCCTTCCCTTCCTCCCCTGCCTCTCTTTCCCTGTCTGCCCTCCCCTTCCTCCCATGCCTCTCTTTCCCTGTCTGCCCTCCTCTTTCCCACCTGCCTCTCGTTCTATGCATGCCCTCCCCTGCCTTCACTGCCTGTCTTTCCCTGCCTTCCCTCCACTCCCCTTTCTCCCATGCCTCTCTTTCCCTGCCTTCCCCCTCCTATTCCTCCCCTGCCTCTCCTTTCCTGCCTGCCTGTCAGCCTGCCCTCACTTTCCTTCTCTTCCTCTCTAACCTCCCTGCCCTCCACTTCCTTTCTTTCCCTGCCTGCCATCCCCTTCCTCCCTGATTCTCTTTCCTTCCCTGTCTGCCTGCCCTTCCATCCCCTGCCACTCTTTCCATGCCTGCCCTCCCCTTCCTCCCATGCCTCTCTTTCCCTACCAGCCCTCCCCTTCCTCCAATGCCTCTCTTTCCCTGCCTGCCCTCCCCTCCCCTTCCTCCCATGCCTCTCTTTCCCTGTCTGCCCTCCCCTCATCTTCCTCCCCTGCCTCTCCTTCCCTGCCTGCCTGCCCTCCCCTTCCTATCTTTCCCTGTATGCCATCCCATTCCTTCCCCTGCCTCTCTTTCCGTGCCTGACTGCCCTTCCATCCCCTTCCTTTCTTTCCATGCCTTCCCTCCTCTTCCTCCCATGCTTCTCTTTCTCTGCCTGCCCCCTCCTCTTCCTCCCATGTCTCTCTTTCCCTGCGTGTCCTCCCCTTCCTCCTCTGTCTCTCTTTCTCTGCCTGCCCTCCCCTTCCTCCCATGCCTCTCTTTCCCTGCCTGCCCCCTCCTCTTCCTCCCATGTCTCTCTTTCCCTGCGTGTCCTCCCCTTCCTCCTCTGCCTCTCTTTTCCTGCCTGCCTGCCCTACTTTTCCTTCCCTGCCTCTCTTTCCCTGCCTGCCTCCCCTTCCTCCTCTGCCTCTCTTTCCCTGCGTGTCCTCCCATTCCTCCTCTGCCTCTCTTTTCCTGCCTGCCTGCCTGCCCTCCTTTTCCTTCCCTGCCTCTCTTTCCCTGCATGCCTTCCTCTTCCTCCCCTGCCTCTCTTTCTCTGCCTGCCCTCTCCTTCCTCCCCTGCCTCTCTTTCCCTGCCTTCCCCCTCCTCTTCCTCCCATGCCTCTCTTTCCCTGCCTGCCCCCTCCTATTCCTCCTCTGCCTCTCCTTTCCTGCCTGCCTGTCTGCCTGCCCTCCCTTTCCTTCCCTTCCTCTCTAACCTCCCTGCCCTCCCCTTCCTCTCTTTCCAAGCCTGCCCTCCCCTTCCTCCCATGCCTCTCTTTCCCTGCCATCCCTCTCCTCCCCTTCCTCCAATGCCTCTCTTTCCCTGCCTGCCCTGCCCTCCTCTTCCTCCCCTGCCTCTCCTTCCCTGCCTGCCTGCCCTCCCCTTCCTATCTTTCCCTGTATGCCATCCCATTCCTTCCCCTGCCTCTCTTTCCATGCCTGACTGCCCTTCCATCCCCTTCCTTTCTTTCCATGCCTTCCCTCCTCTTCCTCCCCTGCCTCTCCTTCCCTGCCTGCCTGCCCTCCCCTTCCTATCTTTCCCTGTATGCCATCCCATTCCTTCCCCTGCCTCTCTTTCCATGCCTGACTGCCCTTCCATCCCCTTCCTTTCTTTCCATGCCTTCCCTCCTCTTCCTCCCCTGCCTCTCTTTTCCTGCCTGTCCTCCCCTCCTCTTCTGCCTCTCTTTCCCTGCCTGCCTTCCTCTTTCTCCCATGCCTCTCTTTTCCTGGCTGCCTGCCTGCCCTCCTTTTCCTTCCCTGCCTCTCTTTCCCTGCCTTCCCTCCCCTTCCTCTCTTTCCATGCCTTCCCTCCTCTGCCTCCCCTGCCTTTCCGTTCCTGCCTGCCTGCCCTCCTCTTCCTCCCCTGCCTCTTTTTCCCTGCATGTTCTCTCCTTCCTCCCCCGCCTATCTTCCCCTGCCTGCCCTCCTCTTCCTCCCCTGCCCTGTCCCCTTATGTGACGTTAAAACACAAAAACTCCAACTGACCAGACACTTAGATACAAGATACTGCAACTGATGAGATACTAGAACGCAACGGTAACTACAAGACATCTAAACACAACAACGGCAACTGACGAGACAGTAAAACACAACACAGACAACTTACGAGACAATATAACCCAACACAGGCAACTGACGAGATACTAACTTACCAAACACAGCCAACTGACGAGACATTTAAACCCAACACAGACAACTGGCGAGATAATAACACACACCACAGGCAACTGACGAGACACTTATACCCAAAACAGGCAACTGACTAGACACTAACACACACCACAGACAACTGACGACACACTAAGACACAACACAGCAAATAGAAGACACAATGACACGCAACACAGGCAACTGACGAGACACTAAAACACAACAGTATCTAGCGAGACAACATCACACAACAGTATCTGACGAGACAGTTACACACAAGAGTATCTGATGAGACACTAAAACACAACAGTTTCTGACGAGACAGCAACACACAACAGTATCTGACGAGACACTAAAACACAAGAGTCTCTGACGAGACACTGAAACACAATACAGGAAACTAACGAGACACTAACACCCAACACAGGACACTGACGAGATACTAATACACAACACAGACAACTGACGAGACAATAAAACACAACAGAAACAACTGACAAGACAATAAACCACAACACAGAAAACTGATGAGACACTAACACACAACACAGACAACTGACGAGATACTAAAACACAACATAGACAACTGATGAAACACTAAAACACAACATAGACAACTGACGAGATAATAACACCCAAAACAGGAAACTGACGAGACACTAAAACACAACACAGGAAACTGACGAGACACTAAAACACAACACAGGAAACTGACGAGACACTGAAACACAATACAGACAACAGACGACACACTAACACACAACACAGGCAACTGACGAGACAGTAAAACACAATACAGACAACTGATGAAACACTAAAACACAACATAGACAACTGACGAGATAATAACACCCAAAACAGGAAACTGACGAGACACTAAAACACAACACAGGAAACTGACGAGACACTGAAACACAATACAGACAACAGACGACACACTAACACACAACACAGGCAACTGACGAGACAATAAAACACAATACAGACAACAGACGAGACAGTAACACACTACAATATCTGACGAGACACTAAAACACAACAGTCTCTGACGAGACACTAAAACACAATACAGAAAACAGACTAGACACTAACACACAACACAGGCAACTGACGAGACACTAAAACACAACAGAAACAACTGACAAGACAATAAACCACAACACAGAAAACTGATGAGACACTAACACACAACACAGACAAATGACGAGACAATAACATACAACACAGGCAACTGACGAGACACTAAAACACAATACAGACAACTGACGAGACAATAACACACAACACAGGCAACTGACGAGACACTAAAACACAACAGTATCTGACGAGACACTAAAACACAACAGTCTCTGACAAGACAGTAACACACAACAGTATCTGACGAGACAATAAAACACAACAGTATCTGACGAGACACTAAAACACAACAGTATCTGACGAGACAGTAACACACAACAGTATCTGACGAAAGGTAACACACAACAGTATCTGATGAGACACTAAAACACAATAGTCTCTGACGAGTCAATAACACACCACAGAAACTAAGAATAAAGAAAAGCATTGCAAACGAAACAGTGGAGACAGAATACAAAATTAAACAACAGCAAATGCACAAGAAAAATTATCATAACACTAATATTTACAACGACACGAAAACTCTTTTTTCCACGTGAGATCGGTATTTGATTTCATAATGTCTTGCCTTATTCGTGAAAACACCATTTACTTTTTTAAATATTAATTTTAAAAAGGTTTGCAAATAGTTAAAGTATTTAGTTAATGAATCCCCTGTCTTTTCATATTTACGGTATACCTGAACGTTTTGTTTCGAAATACTAGGTTTATGTGGATACTGACGATAATAGCAGCCAAAAAGGATTTCATTTAATTAATTATTGATGTAATGGAAATTAAATGTCTGGTCAAACGGAAAGTATGTTAATTGGGATATCACCAAGAAAAAGCTGGTTGTCTTCATAGACAGAAGTAAAAGTTTTACACACTTGTGCTGAAGTGTCGCGGTTATAATGTTGGACAAGGGCTATGTTACGAGAAATTTGTAGAGTTTTCATTTTTTTGGATTTTAACTAATTGTTTGAGAGAAGGTAAAGTTTGGATCTTTAATGGTTGTTTGGAAGGAGGTAAAATTTGGATCTTTGATGGTTGTTTGGAAGGAGGTAAAATTTGGATCTTTGATGGTTGTTTGGAAGGAGGTAAAATTTGGATCTTTGATGGTTGTTTGGAAGGAGGTAAGATTTGGATCTTTGATGGTTGTTTGGAAGGAGGTAAGATTTGGATCTTTGATGGCTGTTTGGAAGGAGGTAAGATTTGGATCTTTGATGGCTGTTTGGAAGGAGTTAAAAATTGGATCTTTGATGGTTGTTTGGAAGGAGGTAAGATTTGGATCTTTGATGGCTGTTTGGAAGGAGGTATGATTTGGATCTTTGATGGCTGTTTGGAAGGAGGTAAGATTTGGATCTTTGATGGTTGTTTGGAAGGAGGTAAGATTTGGATCTTTGATGGCTGTTTGGAAGGAGGTAAGATTTGGATCTTTGATGGCTGTTTAGAAGGTGGTAAGATTTGGATCTTTGATGGCTGTTTGGAAGGAGGTAAGATTTGGATCTTTGATGGCTGTTTGAGATGAGTCAAAGTTTGGATCTTTGATGGTTGTTTGGAATGAGGTAAAGTTTGAATCTTTGATGGTTGTTTGAGAGGAGGTAAAGTTTGGTTCTTTGATGGTTGTTTGAGAGGAGGTAAAGTTTGCAGTTTTTCTATTTGTCTAGGTGGAGATAAAGTTTGGATTTTACTGGTTGTTTGAGAGGGGTTACATTAATTAGTTTATTACAACCCAAAAAAACAATATTGAATACCAAACTCTTAAAGTCTGCACGTCAGGCAATTTTAGGAACAAGGACCAAGTCGTCTCGACTGTTAGCTGCAGTCTTGATCATCCCAACAATTGAAGGCTAATTTCAGCTTTGATTTCCATTGCTAGAGGTTAGAGGTTCTGATACACCCATGGATACAACAGATCTTTAACATAAAAGTGCACGATCCTGTTCCAAACTTTATAAAACTTGTTTTTCCTTTTTAATTTGAAAATCGCATTCGGTGTGATTTAAACAGGTGTTAGTGATAAATGTTTTTAAAATGCTGATGTAATCGCTGTCGTGATTATTACGACAGAACTTAACTGTCATTCCAGTTTTACAGGTTATTTCGCTTTCAGACGTATTGTACATCACAAAACATATCCGGACCGTGTTTCCTGATCACAGAACACATTAATATGTCCGAGAAAGTTATCTTTACAAACAGCTGTCATCCGTTCTAAACGCGACGCATCGTTTGTGTCATTATTCCAATAATACGTCTACATGTCGTGTAAAGATCTGTAAACAGACCATGAATGGTATAAAAGAGGCGAATGTCAACTTCTTTTTATCATTAGATGACATGACAATGAACCCCTAATTCCTTCCCCGTCGTTATGATGACATGACAATGAATCCCTAATTCCTTCCCCGTCGTTATGATGACATGACAATGAATCCCTAATTCCTTCCCCGTCGTTATGATGACATGACAATGAATCCCTAATTCCTTCCCCGTCGTTATGATGACATGACAATGAACCCCTAATTCCTTCCCCGTTGTTATGATGACATGACAATGAATCCCTAATTCCTTCCCCGTTGTTATGATGACATGACAATGAACCCCTAATTCCTTCCCCGTCGTTATGATGACATGACAATGAATCCCTAATTCCTTCCCCGTTGTTATGATGACATGACAATGAACCCCTAATTCCTTCCCCGTCGTTATGATAACATGACAATGAACCCCTAATTCCTTCCCCGTCGTTATGATGACATGACAATGAATCCCTAATTCCTTCCCCGTCGTTATGATGACATGACAATGAACCCCTAATTCCTTCCCCGTCGTTATGATGACATGACAATGAACCCCTAATTCCTTCCCCGTAGTTATGATAACATGACAATGAACCCCTAATTCTTTCCCCGTCGTTATGATAACATGACAATGAATCCCCAATTCCATCCCCGTTGTTACAAGGACAAATGCTATTTTCATTTTGTTCCTGTGTTTCCGGTTCCTGTTTCTAACCTTTCCTTTGTTATAACCGTTTCCTGTTTTCCTTAGGTTTTGGTCTTTCCGGTTTCCGTCTTCTTTTTGTTTTGCTATCTTTCCTGGTGCTCCGGTCAGATAATCAGACAACCCCATAGAGAGAATACAAACGTAAACAAATCCGTACTTTTAATATTAAACATCATTATTGAGCGAATCGTGATAGAATTTCTTTCATGAAAACCCTTAAAAATACAAGGAGGCCAAAAAGTTAGCATGTTTCTATGACGACATCTGACTGGTTCTATACGACATCTGACTGATTCTATGACGACATATGACTGGTTCTATGACGACATCTGACTGATTCTATGACGACATCTTACTGATTCTATGACGACATCTGACTTATTCTATGACGACATCTGACTGGTTCTATGACGACATCTGACTGATTCTATGACGACATCTTACTGATTCTATGACGACATCTGACTTATTCTATGACGACATCTGACTGATTCTATGACGACATCTTACTGATTCTATGACGACATCTTACTGATTCTATGACGACATCTGACTTATTCTATGACGACATCTGACTGATTCTATGACGACATCTTACTGATTCT